GGGGGGGGACGTTTGCTGTCGTGAGGCTCGTTGCCGTCAACACGCGACGCCCGCCGCCCACCGCAGTACAGTCCGCACGCAAAGCCCGCTCCAAGCCGCGCTGGCAGCCCCAAGCCCAGCGGGGAACGACGACGTCTTTTTCCTCGTCGACTACAATAGTGTCCTCCGTAAATTAGACCTGTCCAGGCCGCAGAGCTAAGTGGCGGCGCGCCCTTGAGGGCAGCCGTCCACCCGCTCCCGGACAAGGAAGATAGTTACATTGGCCAGGAAGACCAATTTACCTATGACAATTTCGGAAAAATTTACAGCGCAAAGCAGTTTATTACTTTAAAAAAAATAATCTGTCGTCAAACCAAACGGAATTGAATCTGCTGGGGTCACCAATAGCGGAATTCCATGTACTGAGAATACGGTCAAATTGTGAATTCTGAATAATCACTGAATAGTTGCTAATATCGACTGAATTTGGAAGATAACAATTCTCACATGAACCGCGAATATGCCAAGTTGGTGCCCCTCGATCTTCTAGCAGTAGCTGAGGGCGGGGCCAGAACATTTGTTCACGGTTGAGGGGGAAATTTCGTAAGCTTTTCGTAAGTTTTATGCGACCCCGCGGCGGCATAAGATATATCTGACAACTTTCAAACGAAAAGCATCGATTACTAATAGAACCGGAGCCGAGGGGAGCTGGGGGTGGGTGGGGGCTGTGACACAGGTGCCCGACGGCTCATCGAGGTACTCCCTGGGGGCCGCCCCGGCTGGCCGCCCCCGCGGGGGTGGTTGCGCCGTTACAGTTCGTCGAAGCCGTGGCTGACTTTGGGTGTCTTGTTCCAGGAGTGACAACCATGGAGCAGGTCGCGCTCCCGTTGCAGGGGGTCGAGGTCGTCGACATGGTGCTCCGAGACTGGCAGCCGCCGCCTTCGGCCCCAGCCCCCGCCGCCACGGCCGCCGAGGAGGCTACGCTCTTCTGGGGCGTAGACAACGGCACCCTGGCCGTCAGCAACGCCTCCCTCAACTGCTCCAACGACTACTGCCTGCCCGACGACGAGTACCTGGACCTGATCGAGACGTACGTGTTCCCAACCACCTACGAGTGGCTACTCATCGCGCTGCACGCGGCCGTGTTCTGCATTGGGCTGGTGGGCAACGCGCTCGTCTGCGCCGCCGTGTACCGCAACCCGGGCATGCGCACCGTCACCAACTACTTCCTTGTCAACCTGGCCGTGGCCGACTTCCTCGTCATCCTGCTATGCCTGCCGCCTACCGTCGCCTGGGACGTGACCGAGACGTGGTTCATGGGCATGGCCCTCTGCAAGGTGGTGCTCTACTTCCAGGTGGGTACGGCTGCTGTGCACTCATTTCACTTCCTTTCAGCGGGCGCCCTTCCCTCCCTCCACCCTCTCGTCCCCCTTTCCTCTCTCACTTTTCCACTTGTTAATTGCGACGCATTCAGCCCCGAGCGGCGGGAGGACACGGCGCACTCGACGCAAATGCCCCTCCGCTGATCCGGGCCGCTACACCTGCAGGCGCGTGAAGCTGGGGAAGCTGCGCGCAACTGCAGACCCGCGCGCTGCCAAATCCCCTCTCCATCGGACACTCGGCGGGAGCGGCGCGGCGCGACGAGGGGTGGGGTGGGGCCGTACGAGTTTTATGGAGTGAGAGCGGGCGCCATTAAGTCACGGACAGCAGCGCGGCGCAGCGCAGCCAGGTGGAAAGGGGAGTATTCAAGGCGGCGCCCAGAGCCACCCGGCCGCGCCCGCCAGCACTGCGCGCTGCTGGAACACAAACAACCCGCGTTCAAATTAGGAGCATTTTAGGCTGGAAATCCATTAGACGCTAGAGGAGTGTGTGCTCCGCGCCCGCCTTGGTTCCCACGCTGTGAAGTAAGCAAAACTAAGCTACGTCGTTTAAAACCCGCCGAAACTTCATTGGTTCATCGCAGTGGGATGGTATGTTTCCGGAATGGAACGACTCCCCGGTCCCCGGTACCAGCCGGCGGGAGAGCGAGACGGTCCAGAGGCACGGCGAACGCCGTTGGGGGTAGGCCAACGTCCGCCGTGTGAGCGGGCGTGTTGCCTAACCCGCCGGGGCTTCGCGCGCGCCCAGCCGGTGTCGTGCGCCGAGGGAGCCGCCGAGCCTTGAGGCGAGCTGCTCCTCCAGCTCCGCCGCGACGGCAGCCCATCTCCAGGGATTCAATCCCTAGGGTGCCACCGGCAGCCAGCTATAATCCCAAATGTGCTCAAC